GCATATTCTCAGTTTTGACTCTGCTCAATTAAAGGTCTCTAAAGCAGCATTAGAAGAATATAAATGATCGGAAAAGAATAATACTGAAGGGTTGCAAATTTGATAAGGCGGTAAAAAAAAAAAAATTAATTTATCATGTTATGGAACAAATCAATCTTTTCTACTTGCCACTGTATTTGTAAATTTTTTTTTTGCAATATATATTAAAAAAAAAAAAAAGGTTTAACAAGCAAGCTATTTAATATTAATATTAATATTAATATTTAGTTAATTGATGTTTACTACTCCTGAGAAGAAAAACAATACGTCGTTTTGACTTGTTTTTGTTTTATTATTATTGCTTTGTTTATTATATTAATATTAATGTTAAAATACTTACAAATAAATTCGTGCACGTGCCGCCGCTCGCTCACTGCGACGTTTAACTTAAAATCTTGTTATTAATTATATATATTTCCTATTATGATGACAACCTAAGGGTAGTTTTTTGCAACAACTCGAAAGTAAAAGCTTTCCTCTTTTCAAAAATCCTTATACATTTTAATCTTCTATTTATGCGACACAGTCCTTTTAATTGACAGTTTCGAAAGTGTTGACATGTAGTAGCAACAATCACAAGCTTTTATCCGCTTACCTTCATCAAATGGTGCGTCACCAATCCATTTTGTCTCTTGTGTGGTCACGTGATCACAATTTTCCATATTCGAAAAAGGAGTTTCAATTAGACCTTACTCGTTAAGATAAAACCTCGAATAAAATTTTTAAAGTGCCCCGTTTAACCAAATGTCAAATTCATTTAAAAGATTTGATCAAAGCCAAGAAATGTTTAACAAGTTGTTTTAGTGGAAAGAAGATTGTGAAAATGTGGATTTAATACTCACGAAAAAAGTAGTTGCTGTGCTACAAAAACATTATCTTTAGATCTGGTTTTGTTTTTCAAGGATCACTTCTTACAGAGATAATTAAAGCTGTTGGCGACAAAGTTATTTTTATCCGAAATTTCATTTTACATAAAACGTGCATTTAAAGGTCCTAAGGCATTAGAGTCTGTTTCTTTATTAAAAATAAAAAAATTTGTTAGAAAATTGCAAAAGAACGAGTGCTTGGTCCTTCTACATTCTTGTGGAAAACAACACAAATTCTCTGTGCTATATACCTTGAGCTTCTATTGCTCAGGGTAATAGACGTCGAGATTTAAGCCTTTTGAACGTTCTAGAGTCTTCTTGTTACTGACGGGTCCTTCTTTAACAACTGTTTTGCATCACATTTGAATATGCACATTTTGAACACCATGTTTTAATATTTTTGACCGAATTAAGAGTTACATTCCGCCGAAACAAGTGGCATGGTTAGATATAAAAGATTTATTTAAATGGAAATCATTTTATTTAAAAATAAAGATATAAAGAAAATAATTTTATTCTTATTTAAAGGTTATTCTCCAAGAAAGTTTTTGCTTGTGGATTTTTTGTCTATTACTAAATAATAATATAATAATAATGTACAGTACCTGAAGGAAAGTACTGTAATGCAGTTCACATTTTCTGTAAATCCATTTGTCCATAAATTTTTATTTAACAAATTTCATTTTTTTAAAATTTGATAATATTAAAATATTATATTTCATAAGACCTTGAACAATGATATTTTGAACTGGTATGCAAAAGAGCATGCAAAAAGTTGTAAATTCTACCCAACAATTCGTGCAATTTATCATAAATCCAGTAAAATACCTCTGACTTATAAATTTCTAATAAAATTGTAACATAGTTTTGATGATAAATGGCTACCTCATATTGGCTTGTAAACAAACTGCAAAAATACAATACTAGATACACAACTAATTGCATCTATATCTGTAATAGGTTGATTAATATAAAAATGAAAGCTATCAGATGGATTTTTAGAAATAAACTTTTTTGTGCAAGATATATTTTGCCATACAATCAATATATAGAATTCTATCACCTGTAATAATTTCATGATTCATTAACATATTATTAAAAAAAATTTTAAAAGCAATAAATAAAATATCAACTTATTATTATTATTATTTGGTAAAAGTGAATTTATCTGCTGAAACATGATTACTAATGAATTAAAGGTATGGTGCAAGTCACCTAGTCCCGCAACTTGCTGCGCCTCGTGGCCAATTTTGGGAAAAATATCAAAACTCAGAAATTGTAAGTTATGCTCAAAAATGCAATAAAATTTTATATCATGTGACCTTTAATGGTGATACAAATT